TACAGATAGGAAACATGTGTCATAACTGCATGACCAGTCCTATAATGGGAGTAGCAGTCTCTCCTTAAGGCAGCTGTACTTCTGAATGCAATATGCTTTGTTAGATTTTCCCCAGAATTTTTTATTTTGTATTTTGCAGGAAAAAAAAAAAAAGAAAACTAAAAAAAAAAAAAACCCACCTATCACTGCTCTCAGTGCAGACTCAGGTTCTGATTTTGCCCTTCTACAGACAAAGTAACCTTAAGCAGAGACGAGTGCCATAATAAAGCTCTAAAATACTGATCTCACTCTCTGGTAACTCAGGTTCTGCAATGCACAGAGCAGGGCTGAGCCAAACCTCACCTGGCAGCAGAATACATTTTGCTTTTTATCGAAGCCACTTTCACACTCCCACAACAGTCTCATTAGCACTAATAGGCAAGCTGGGCTCCGAACATCAGCACAGCCCTGCCCTTGCACTGATGGAAAATTAAAGGAGTTTCCTTCCATGTTCTTCAGTGTGAGAGTGCAGCTGAGAATCTTTCAGGATTTGGAGAATTTTTAGCTAATTGAGGTAAACCAAACATACCTAGCTGCTTTTATGACTCTTTCAGAACGGTATCTTTTTAAGCTAATACTCCACTGGGGAGCACAACTCGCTGACAAAAGCCCTCTGAAGTGCCTTGAAGAGATCTGAGCTCTGGGCTCTGAACTTTGCTGCTTATAAACAATTGCTTCAATCTGCCAGGCCACAGCGGGAGTATGAGGCTTCATAAGAGGGCTTAGGTGTTGTAACACTGAACGCAGCAGCATTTCACTGGGTGTCTCACTATCCAGCCTCCCCACACAATCCAGAAGACTTAAGACACAAAGAACCAGATCTGCACAAGCCAGCAGGGAACCACTTTAGGAAACGCTGAAGAGAACATAGCCCAGCTGTGCTGAGGTACCTCTTTCTGATCAGATTTCAAACTCCAGTTCCCTTCCCAGAGTAGGAACTGAAGCAGCACACGCTCATAAAACAGCAACGGCAATTATAACACTTGCTTAGGCCTTGAAGAGAAAGATCCAGGTCTCCTCTTACAATGTAGAAATGCGAATATCTACTCCCAGCCCCAGGCTGACTATTGGGATGTCCTCTTAAAACCCTTCTGCTTTTCATGGGAAGAAGCAGATGAGATTGGGCCAGGGGAAGTGGATTCTTTGGAGCACTCTGGCAACAGGACAAAGACAGCTTGGGCCCTCTCTCAACTCAGTTCAGTGAAAGATACTCATGTATTTTCAGAGACTGAAACCTCAGTGAGCACCATGAACTGGGAGGGGGCAAAAGTAAGACACACAGGTGCACCTTCTCTAGCAGCACGCAAAGGTTTTCATGAAGAAAAGGAATTGAGCCCACTGCCTGCCAGCATAAATTAGCTTCGAATTGCTAGTGAATAGAAGGTATTGATGTGGTTCTGAGAACACCAACACTGAGGTAAACAAAAGAGTATTTGATCCCTGGCATCCCATGCTGTTCAATCAGCTTCTCACCTGGTCCAGCACTGAGGTCTTGGGCAAGCCAAGAACTGTTTGACACTGAAGCATGTACAAAACTGCACTGGAGGAAATCTGCACCTCTGCCATGACTTGAAGTAGAATTTGGGAAACTGAGCTTTGGGATCAGGCCTAGTTCTCCAAGGGCACATAGCTACTAACCCAAACTGTTTGTTTACCAGAGAGACAGTCGCCTAAGTACTTTCCAGATCTGTCCTTTGGGGCTTAGACTGGCTGGAAAAAAAGAGGCTAAGAAGTGAAGTCACTCAGGGCACTTAAGTCAGCTGCATACTCAGAGGGCCTCCAAGTTCCATCTCTGGCCTCCCCCCAGAGCAGCAGAGGTGCAGGTTGCATTTGCCTTCTGTGGATTGCACAGGCAGCCCTTCCCACAGCTGGAGCTCCGGTCCATGAAATCCAACTACAAAGGTGCAACAGCATTGTGGTGAAATCTTAAAGATAATCTTTGACTTCTGCTGTCTAGAGAGAGAAAACGCTTCATGTAGGAATGCGTTTACCATATTAATCCTAAAACAGTTCCATTATAATGACAAGCGTGATGTTTCATCAAAATTCTTATGAGATTTATATCTGCTGTAGCTCTCCTTTGGATGGAAGTTGGATGTAAAACAAGCATATGTTTCTTGTTACAGAGCTGCAAAAAACATCCATTGTTTCTTGGTTGACTGATTGAAAATTTAAAGAAATCAGTCTGCCATAACAAACGTGATCTCCACAAATCCAAATGTATTCTTATATTTCACTGTGTATTTAATAAAGGAACTTGAAGGTTCACTGAAAAACAATTAAAAGAACTTAAGCTACAACCATCCTTTGGCTGCAAGATTAACAATATTAATTCAGATTCTCTTAATTTGATATTTAGATATGCCTAAAAATGTGAATTAAACTAAGAAAAATATCTTCATTTACAGAATCTGTATACTTTATATCTAGAAAACTACATTAATGAAGATCAAGGTTTCAAAATCAAGTTTGGATGCTGCCAATCAAGGTGCTGCTGCCTATTATATTAAGATATGACTTAAAGTTACAGGTTCCTTTTTTTTTTTTCCCCCTTCTCTCTCCCCCATGGGAATACATCTCATTTAGGAATTCTTTTCAGGTTTCTTCAGAGCACTGCTCCATCCTGCTTACTGCACACTGTGCAGGACACAGAAGTATCAGCTTCTGTGCAAATATTTCTATGCTTTACATCATAGGAATAAGGACTGTGAGGTCTTTTTCAAATCTAACAAACCTTTGCAAGATTTGCCCCTGGCACCAACGCCACCAGTACCATCTGTTGTGTGACCAGATGAATAGCAAAGCTTCATCTAATATTCTTCAGAACAGATCTACTGAAATGATACAGCTACAAGCACTTTGCATTTCTGCAGATAGGAATCAGAACACTGAAGAACAAAGTGCCTTGTACAGTGTTACAGAAGAACTTCATGACAGTACAAGAAAGAAAACCTAGTTCTCCAAAATTTAACACTGTTTCCTTCACCATCAGACTATTTTTTATCCTTGTCTATCTATCTCACTTTACTGCAGCCCATAGCTGCACAATCCTAGATCATTCACAGAACAGCACACAGCTTACACCAGAGATGTGCAGGATTCCATAGAAAGATGCTGAGACAGGTAGGAAGTGTTACAAGGAGGTTATAGATATTATAATCATGTCTCTAAATTTTACAAGTTCATTCTTCCGCACCCTTCTTTTAATGAAGGATTCAAAAATAGAAATCACACTGACCCTCCAGCCTGTCACTAATAAGATAATAAGAATAAGGTACTTCAATATGATGCTGCTTTTATTTGACTCTGACTCTCCAAATGTTAAATATGAATGTTAAGAAGTTAGTGATTTTACCTGTTATGCCAATTGGCACATGGATGCTTTGCACTCTGTTCAAAGATCAGTCTATTTTCAAATGCTTCATGTCATCAAAACCCTTTTTTCCACCCTATTTTTTTAAAAAGCTTTTGAATCACATTAACCTTAGTTCAAAACTAGGATCAAACAGATACTAACTTTATTAATAAGTTCTCAAAAATGCATCGTCAAGTGATGTATGTTTCAATAATAAGGTTTTAAGATAGGAGATGAAAGAAACCTCACGTTCTTAATGTAATCCACTTGCAAAATTTTTAAGGAATATTGGCGACAGATATTTTCACACAATTTTGTTTTTACCATGTCAGGTGTGAAGTATTGGGATAAATATTTCAGCTGTATTCATTTAGGAGATCGTGCTGTGGAGTCTCCTTCTCTGGAGATATCTGAGACCCATCTGGACACCTACCTTGTGTGATCTGCTGTAGGGAATCTGCTATTGCAGGGGGGTTGGACTCAATCATACCTAGAGGTGCCTTCCAACCTCCACAATTCTGTGATTCTGTAATTTTAGAGATGCAAGCAATGAAAGCATAAAGATAAAGATCAGTTAGTGTCATGAGCAAAGCTAGAAGCCAGAATCCGGATTAGAAGTTCAAATGGAATCTAGTGATCATACTAACCCAAAGTTACAGTCATGGTCTGCTCCATATCTGTGTACTTTTTTTTTTTTTTTTTTTAAATTGCTCTATAGCTTTTGGTCTAGGGATTCTTTCATTTATCAGACAAGCACACACAGCAAAAGAGATATCTTGTTTCTATCACACAATCACACAAAATTGTGTACTTCATACCAAAGGGTACAACAGATCTCAAATTTTGCAATTTGTGCGTAATAACACAAAACAGGCACCAAATTAACACTACCATTAAACTCAAGGCCTTCAGCCAGCAAGGGCTAGTATTTCCAGATACACCTGAATCAATTCTGTGTTTACATACAGCCTGAATTATACACATCTCTAATGTTAAGCCTGTTAGCACAACAGTTTCAAATATTTGATGCCACTTACTGTAAACAATATCCTCTAGGCCAAGAAAAAAAAATAAATGGAAAGTTAATTATACTGCAAAAAGCACATCAGCATAGCACTTTATCCTTTACAAAAATATCATAAGCTGAAATGAGACAGACATTAAGATTTATATGAAAATTATCTTTTTACGCTTGAACAACACATATAGTATAAAAAGCTAGAGAAACATTCCCTGATTTTATGGTTAAGGAACCACTTCCATTTGTCAATACTGTAATATGTACATGCTTACATCCACAGACTGTTACTTCTGCTGTCTCATGACACCAACACAACATGAAGCACTAGCCCTGTATTCTCACCTCCAGAGAAAAGAGATGAAGGAAGTAGCACCTCCTTTTTAAGTTAACAACTTAACCAGCAATTCTGGGTGTTTCCTACCTAACCCTCCAACTACCGGAAACAGCTGTACTATATGAAAGAAGTAAGAATCAAGAAGCTGGAATGAAGACTACATACTGTTAAGCTAATGTGTAATGTATATGCTCATAGGAAAGATCTGAACATTAGCTTGCTAACATTTATAAAGAAGTCTTCCCAAGAGATTTTGTACTTTGACATATTTATTTTAGTTGGACGAACAGACTCAATGAACAAGCTGAAACAAGTATTGCTTCAGCCTTACATGTGCTTCCCTGAAGACTTGAACCAAACTTTAGAAATATCAGAAAGATGTGGCTATTTGCATGAAGTAGTTCAATAGTTATTTCTTGTTCCATGCTTCTCTTTCAAGTCGTTCACGAATTACTTCTTTTAGGTACGGTTCAAGATAAGGCTTATCCTGAAGAAAAGAAAAGAATATATTTAAACATGCTTATATTTAAAAGGGAGGTGCAGAAACGACTCAAACCATTCCTGCAGATCACCTCTCTCTCATTCTTTCTCAGACTTGACTACAAAGCAATCTATGGAGTGGAAGAGGGGGGTTAAAAAAGAGAAAAAAAAAAGAATCACATTACTCATTCTGAAAAGATAGACTTGGTATCTGCCAAGTCTTGCCAAGTCTGCAAAGACAAATTCCCTAATGTAACCACTTCTAATTCCTAATGCCTCACCGGCATTATCAAATAAAATGATGCTTTCAGCTTCACCTTCATAAATAACATTGGGTTATTTTTGTTTTTTCTTGTTCTACTTTTTTGACAGGTATTCAAATGAGCAAGATCTACTTTAATTACATCAGGTTCACGTAAAATACTATTTGCATGAAATAAACTTATTTTCAACTTCTAAACAGCACTGCAAACACATTCAGCAGAACACCTAACTGTGTTCAGTTGCTAATCAAACTGCTGCTCAGTCAACATATGCAAACAGATAGTCAATGCAGCATTTACCAAAATATGACCAATAACACAAGGAATAGCTTCTGCTTCTAGAGGGAAATTAAAGCTCTTGTGTTATCTTCCAGTACAAAATTTAGTGTCAAGATTCCTCTTTGCCTTATCTTTGAAGAAAGATGAAATGGACAGAAATACAAATCTGTGAGTTACTCCACTGCAAAGAAACATTACAACTAAAAAGGCAGATTTTGTTTGATTTGGCTCTCATATTACAGAAAGACGCTTATTCTAATACACAGTTTTCCTTTAAATTATTCTTCCTTCACATTTTCATTAATTTTATACAAAATCTTGAGCCAAACCTTTTATTAAGAAACTCATCAAAAGAATTTCCATAGTCACTAGAGAGTATTTCCTTATCTGACAGCTTAGAATATTTCATCTGAAGACAAGAGTTCTATAGTTTTGAGCTGTAGTTTAAGCTTTTGTCATCCTGAACAACACACCTGAATTTCCATTGTTAAAATCCAGACTTTTAAGCAGAATTCCAAAACAATGTTATTCAAAGGTATTTTCTAAGATATACACTGATTTATTCATTTTAAATAACACGTAACATGCACCTCTTCATAGAGATTCAAAGTCTCAAAGACTGATTACAGTCCTGTCATTAAGAGCACCTTGAGAACACTGCACACTTACCTCTTCATATTTTACCCACTGTTCTTTTGGAAGGATCCGATGTTTCAAGCTTAAATCAAGTGCTCTCTTTATGCGAAACATTCTTTCATTGTAAAGATCCTCTGGAAGTCTCTTCAGTGCTTCTTTTACATCATCATCTTCATACAATGTATCATCTCGCATTAATCCTGTGCCAAAAATATTTTTACAATTTCACTGAATAGATGCTCCAAAATAAAACTCAAGACCTAATAGATATGTTTCTAAACTTGAGCATAACACTTAAAATGCAAAGTTAGAAAAGAAAAAAGACACATCTAGGAGAAGAAAAACACTACTTCCTCAAAGAGTTTAAAACTGTGAATATTGACTTTCACATACTTTCGTTCCTTTTCTTAAGAAAGAGTATGGAAAATGGATTTTTGATTCAGTGTGTTTCATGAGATATTCAAATCTGATTGTTGATTTCTGCTCTATTTTATATCCTTGTATTTCAGATGGCAGTCTACGTAAGAGGTTTAAGAGCTGATTCTATCACAGTCAGTTGATCACAGATGTGACTGCTTGAGTATTTAAGAATAAATCTCTTAAACTCCACTGCTAAAAAAGCCTTGATGTCCACTGACTATAACAAGCAATGGAAACACAAAACCACTCAAGTTGTTTGTGCCTGAGTTTCTACTTCTTCCCTCCAACTGGGATTTAATTCAAGTAGGACCATTTAGTCCTGTGAAAGCCAAAACCACCACATTTTTTTTGAATGAAGCATTCCTGAAATTCAACCAACTCTGCTTAAAACTTCAGTGTTAACAACAAAGAACAAAATGTTACTTCAGTATCATTCCAAGATCGATGCAGATTATATAAGTACAGCTACTGACTTGAGGTCTAAGGTTTTGATCTCACATGACTTGAATTGGTAGTAGCATCCCAATAAAACAGAATTTCTTTTAAGCAACATATCTTGAACTCAGTTTTGCAGTTTCTTGCTAAAGGCACAAGAAGCACTGCAGCTCCTTTAATCACTACATTTCAAAAAAAGCAGCAAAAAGCATTAAAATCTTCAATAATTTCAGGAAGCAGACAACACTGCACCTCTATTAGCAAGACAGTGGCAGAGGGATGAACGTTCGTCATTCAAATTTTTTTTTCCTCATATTCCTAGGGAAAGCATATGAACTGCCTTTAAACGATTCACTCAAACTGCAATCAGTAGTAGCAGTCTCCATGTTCAGATTCTCTTGTCTTTCAAAAATAGTTCTGCAATCTGTACTGCTGAAACAAGCTCTGTAATAACAATGGACAAATTAAGTAGAATACCATCAAGGTAATCTCCTTTACTTAAAGAAACACCACTTTTACAGTTACTTGACCACTAAATAGGCTGGAGAATAAATCCTTTTTTGGAAATTGAACACTTTGCACAAATGTCCCAGATAGACTAACTGCCATCAGCATCAATCTCCATTTTCAGGGATAGCATTTGGGAAGGTAATAAGGTTAACAAATAGCTATGGGTACAATTGACTTGGTGGGAAAAAAAGAAAGAATCAAGCTTTCAGGACTGGTTTCCAGAAGTGTCTTCAACAGCTCCAGCGTGACTTTAAATGTTAAAAGGTATTTCACAGAAAAGGAGATGAAATACAGAAAAGAAGTTGCTTTTTTCTAACTTTTTTCCACAAATAAATGTAACAGCTAATATCGATAAAACAACATTTCAAAATGCCTACACTGACCAGTTACCAATCATAACCAGATTAAGGACTGTTACACATAAAAAGTTTTAAGGCCCAATGACATACTTACCATATTTGTTGAACCCAGCTGCATTATAGTACCACTTTCGAATTCTGTCCATCAGGCGCCCACCTCCTGAAACTAAAACCGACTGTCATCAGTTGGAGAGCAGCATAAAATTCAACGTTCCACAGCACTATGACAGCATGCAAATACCTGCCAATCTCCTTCACAGCAGCAGTGTGACACCACTTGAACTTATAGAGCTAGGCCTCTCTGCTTTACAGTATTGAAAAAGGGACACTGATCATATGGAATGAGTGCTTGTTCCATACAATATTTTGACCTGTTCCACACAATTTAAATATCAGACTACTTTAAGACACTACTTTAAGACACTACTCACCATTCACTACCAAAGACTGCAGCAATAGTTTCAAGCTCCACAACTCTTACTTGAGCTAAAAGCAGTATTCTACCACCACACTTTTCTAATCTCGTGTTCTTAAGCTTTAGGACCTAGAAGAAACATCACTAAGGGACAGAGCAATGCCAGCATTCGAGCAGGTCACCGGAGCCTGAGGCCTCCCAGAAAGGCGGCGGCGGCTCCCCCGCTCCTTCCTATCTCTTCCGAGCCCTTCAGCCCCAGCGATCGAAGCCCTACAGAGGCCCGAGCTGAAGGACAAGGCTGGGACAGAGGTCACCGAGAGGCGACACGGGCCAAGGACACACAGCGCCCAACGCGTCTCCAACTCCCCGCCCCGTCCCGCAGCCCCCCAGAGCCGCGGGAAGGACGGCAGGACGAAGACAAGTTCGACGGGACGAGCCCGGCGCCGAAGCCGCCCCGATCGCGATCCCTCCTCCTTCTCACCCGTTGCCCTCGCCGCCATCTTGACCTCGGCGCGGCGCACTGCCTGCTGGGAGCGGCCTGCTGGGGACGCCGCGCCGCCGCGGGGCGGGGAGAGGTGGCCAATGGCGGCGCAGCGCGGGCGCATGCGCGGAAGGCCCGGCGTGGGCGGGGCCGGTGACGGGGGCCGGCCGCGGCCTATCGGATGCGCAGCGCTGAGGTTTTAAAGAGTGGAAAATAAATAAATTAAAAAAAAAAAAACCAACCTCAAAGCGTAATTACTCCAATTATACCGCTACAGCGCTCCCAGCCGAGCAGCAGGCCGGAGGACGGCCGGTGGCTGCAGGCCAGACGTTTCTTCTGCAGGCTTTTCCATCCTCAAGCCGAAAAGCACTTGGCGCCAGGCGGCTCTGCTGTCCTCTCTCCGCCCTTCTTTCAGCATTTGCACAAAGTCGGTGGTTGTCTTTCTTCCAGGTGCTTCTGGGATGTATCTTTGGCACAAGCATTCAGCATTTCAAAGGAGCTGTGTTAGCTCTGGCAGCAGTGTTTTTTTTTTGTTGTTGTTGTTTTTTTTAATACATTCAGAAAGATTGAAGTCCAAATTTGAAGCTGTCCAAAATGTGGTACGTGCTCTATGGTACCGTGGTTTGTCACAAACCAGGTAGGTGCTGAGCACAGCACAGTACATTCACAAAAAAAAAATATTTTGCATATCTGCATACAAAGCCTTTTTCAGCCTTACTTCTGCAACACAAAGGGGCACTTAACATTCCAACACCAAGCTTTTAACAAATGGAGACGTTTTCATTAAATAAACATAAATCCAAATGAAAACATCTGGATTTTAATTTCCTGACCTACTTTAACTGGAAGAATAGAAGCTTCTAAACAATAAAGTATTAGCTTGCATTTGGACAATCAGCTTGCATTTCATAATTCTGTATTAACATTGTTCATTCACTGATAGTATAAAATACCTTTACTATTCCCCACAGTTCTCATTTTACTTCAATTATAATTGAGCAAGATAACTCTATTAACTACATACTATAACCTCTTTTTGTGTGGTTATTTCTATACTAAAGACAAACAAATCACATCAGGGTGAAGTCAAACTGCTTCTCCTGTCAACAAGGCAAAGACAAAAGTGACTTAAAACAAAATTAGACACAACCCTAAAATTTAGGAGCTTTTTTTTTTTCCTCATTGTGATTTGCCTAGATTCAATTTGCTGTGGGTTTTGTTCTTTTTTTTTTCAAGCCAAGTTTCACAGTACAGCTTTTAGGATATGAACTTCAGAAGCCAGCTTGAAAAAGAAAAACCTTTGTAACCTGTTAAAAAACACCCTTTTGTATGAGGAACTTTACATACATAATAGTGTATTCTTCTCTGACATATAAAAGAGCAAATAAAATTACTAGCTTTTAAGATGAGAACAGGTAATTGTGCCACTTCTCTGCTACTACATTAGCTTGCTAATTACATTAACTTGCTGGTTTGTTAGTAAGGTGAGGGGAGAAGACAGAAGGGGAGACTGGGAAGAAGTCACTAACCAGTCTTTCTATCTCCTGAAACTCCAAAATTACTGAAAGTAAAACAAAACAAAAAAATCCACTTTAATTTACTTTTCTGTTAGTGTGCTCCATCATTCATGCTGAATTAAAAGATAGCAATTAGTTTCAAGGATTACATTAACATCACTCAACATATACTCACCTAACTCTTTTTAAATATACTTTTAAATCACCGTAAACATTGCTGTAAGGCTCTACTTATGAAACACTTGTAGGATGTAATTAATTCTTAAACAATAAGGAAGTTGAGACCTTGAAAGGAAGCAGTTTTAAAAAATGTTTATTTCATAACTTGATTCCTTTCTACATGTGTTAATAATTAAATCGTTTTTAAGAATTTTTCAAAGTCCTGAATAGAGGCTTTGGCAATCTCTGTACAAAACACCTCATCGGGTAAGGACACAAGCTGGTCCAGAGAGATGTAACTGGGTTGAGTTGGGTCATACTGGGCTCTTCCCAAGAATATAAGAAACATATGTCTCTCTTTGATTCGTAATAGCTTTGAGTTGAAAACCTAAGAAAGGAGAAAGAAAGAATCCTAAAATCATGAAAGAGAATCTTTTAGGTAGTCTAAATTTCAGACTCTGATGAATCTAAAATAAAACATTCTTCAGACAAACTGGAGCAAGAAAACAGATAATTTACATCTTTCCTCCTCATTTTTGTCAACCATCGAGTAGTTTGTATTTATATATAAAATTATTTAAATTCTAGACGAATGTTTCAATATATCATACTGAGACACATACAATAGGAAAATCAGGGAGCAGTACAACTCTCTTGAGCATGATACTTAGTACATTTATATAAGATAACTACATGCTGTAATTCGTGTAATCACAGCCAAAGAAGTGAACAAGACATTTGGAAACAGAGAAAAAGAATACCAAAACACTTTCCCTCTATTACTGGGAACGCTTAGTTTTACAATGAGATTTAGATTAGCATTGTTATGGGGAAGAAATGAAGAGCTAATAACCACAGAACAGAGGCAGCAGAAAACGTGAATGGCTGCACCTTCTTTTATAACACAATCAAAAGGCACAGTGCAGTGGTTCAGAAAACCCATTTGTTTTCTCCTGCACGTCTACCTTTGAAGATATTTGTCACAAAAAGAACTGTAGGCTATCAGAGGGTGAGAATAATGGTGAAATGAATTAGAGGAACACATTTGAAAGAAGAGAAGTGGGGAAAATGGCAGGATGCAGATGTATCATGACTGGACAATGTGGGAGTCAAAGGGACAAGGTGAAGCACCACAAAGCCACAACAACATAACTGAGAAGGTAGTGAACAACACTTGTGATCACTTACAAGTCAAGTAAAACAGAAGTGAGATACAAAATAGGATATAGCAACCATCAGTGTCAGGTAATGGTAGATGTAGTACATACAAGATAAGTAATAAAAATCCAGAAGAGAAGTCACATATGAATAGAAGACTTGTATGTCCTGCATACAGTGAGCATCCACTTTCACTACACCAGTAGTTCAGAAAACCTACTTGTCTTCTCTTGCACAGCAACATCTGCCTTTGAAAGTATTTGTCACAAAAAGAATTGTGGACTATCAAAAGGTGCAAATGATGATGAAATGAACTAGACTGTGCAAATAGCACCTACAATTTAGATTAACAGCTCACCTGAGGAAAGCGAGTAAGCATGTTGTGGGGAATGCCCATTATGTTGTGCAGGTAGTCAAATGTCTGTCTGAGTCTCTTTTTACTCGCAGTTAAAATCTTGGGGGTTTTAAACGCAATCTGCTGAACTTCATTACGTTGAAAACCAAATTCAACCTGACAAACCTGAAAAAGAGAACAATATTCAAAAGTCCGGCACAACAAAGTTAGCTTGTTCTAACATGCCAGTGAAATAAACTAATGTAAGATTATTCTATCTTTTATTACACAGTAATATGAATGCATTCTGTAATAATCTAGTCCTTTGAAATCAGGGAGCATGAACTGTTTATCACCCCTGGATTAAAGTATAATTTGTTTATAGAACATTCCTGAAATTTAGATTACTTGTGTGAATGCTACCTATTTTACAGTTTGTCTGAGATATGAACCAAAAAAACCCTCGTATCTTCATATGCACGGCAGTTACACGCATAAAAATTCTCCCCTGAGAGTTTTCATCACTTCCAATATCAGACTTCCAATAGAGACTGACATTTTAGTTGTGGAGCTGTTGAACCCAGTAAAACACAGTAATCAAAGTGACTACTTTTGTTTATGTGTTATTTCTTTTGCTAATGTATTCAAGTCATATTTTCTATACTAGAGACTATAATTTCAATCCTAGATTGAAGTCTCCTGAAAGAGCTGTGCAAAACATGCACTTCTTCAGTTCATTTTACAGTTGGTTCACGTCTAAAGTAAGTTGTCTTTTTCAAAGCCTGCCTTGACTTTAATTATCATTCCTCAAAAGGAAAATAAAACACATTTTTTCAATAAAATCGTGAGAACTCCTCCCAACATGCAGGCAGCAAGCAGTTAAGAGTTGTTGATAAAGAAATTTAGCATCCAAGAGCATCTCATAATTCAGCCACTTCTTCTATCTGAATGTGACATTTACAAGGAGCTTGCTTTCAGTCATGTAGTGGGTATGCTTGCCAGTCAACATAAAGCAGACTTTGAAATCCAACTCAGGTACGTCTTCACAGCTGGCAAAAAAGATGACGCTTTTTGTTTGTCCAGTTTGATGTGACAACACTAAAGCTCTTTTCCAGGACTTCCTGGCAAATGCAAAGCAAAGGGTCTGGAATCTAGGTTTTGAAGACACCTTTTAAGATACCTTTGGCAAGTGCTTTCAAATATGACTGTAATCAGGTCTTCCAACTCCTGATTCTTTTTTATCTGCTTTATAAATATTTGCCTATCATGGAAATACTAACCAAGACAGCAGTCACGTATGAAGAGATGTGTCTGCACTCCAGAGGTGCTTTCCACAGATCTGAGTTGGCAGGGGTAGCTCATTGCATTAAGAATTACAACTGAAAAGTATGACCTGGTCTTAAATCAATGGAGATATATGGCTGGCTCCACTGCAGAGTTAGTTCTGGTAAGTCTCTTCTCCTTGTCTTTTCTACTCTGTGAAACTGAGCAACAGTTTTCTGGACATAAATAGGGAGCTCAATTGTAAATTGTTTTAAGGGTTCAGTTAATACACTTAATAGTCAGTAATTCTCTACTCCACATGTTAATTTCCTTACTGTGCAAGTCCTAGCTGTTACCAGCATACTCTGCATGATTCCCCCAACACATCCTGGTAATGCAGACTTTCATGTTTAATTCTCTCAATGAATCTCAAATTGTGCTTGATGAAACCTTTAGAGGATGGAATAATCTACCCCTGAGATCACTTAGTCCATGTTAGTATGTTCTGACAACCAATGT